AGCGTGAGTTGGATGGTGACTATCTCTGTACCCTTGCCAGAAGATTTATCGCACGAAGGTAATATTCTGGAGAGTCCAATGTGTAGATTTATAGGATAGATGATCCGACGACAATTTACATTGTGATGTATGGTAAGTCGGCGTCTCTCTGTGGGCCATCATTACGGTGGTTAACATTAAGAAGAGTGTATCTAGATACGCGTGTGGTACTTATAGAGCAGTAAGTAATAGTTAAGCATCAGCGTTGTCCTGTTTAATGAATCCTTTTCTTTCTGGCTTGATTTTTCCATAATTCGAGATTCCATTGAGATCACGCAATTCTCAAACTACGAGTGTGTGTGTGGCTTAGGTGTTGAAATGACCAGTGAGAGATTCAAAATTTAAACATTTTTAATAATAACCAATTTAAATGTGAAAATGGCAAGGTTTTACTGGACATAACCCATATGCGTATTGAGTGGAGGAAGTTCTCGAGTATTTGCCCCCTACATATTTAAAAATACATATTGAGCATTTCTCTTAAGTTAGAATCACTTATTTTGGTATGTAGCTTCTCATATGATACACATATAATGTATACTGCATTTTTTGCAAAGCAATCCCATCCCCACGCCACTGCCAAATAGCCATAAATCAAATTAATAAACCAATTTGGACTCCCCACCAATTTAAGCCACAATTTTAAACCAATTATCTTTTTAAGAATATAAAAATATATGTAAGGAAATAAGATTGACTTTTGATAATAAAATGTACAAATATATAAATATATACACGTGTTTGCTGTAGCTACTAAACACACAGTCATGCCCGTCTTTTTTTAAATTTTATAAACAGCTTTGCAATTGCGATTGTATTGTTTTCTGTGCTGCGTGTATGTACTGCTATTTTAATACGTTATGTTCTCGTCGAAAATGAATTGTTTGTATTGCTGTTGAGCAGAGACTGTCGCAAGTGGTGTTGGTTGTTATGAATTCGTATATAGAATACGAAGTGTTTTTTTATAATTTTTTTTTTTTTACTACTAAAACGAAAAAAAAAACTAAAACGAGTGCGTAGCTTGACCTGCACTTGGTGTTGGCAGAAGAGTGTTCCGGCTATTACCGACTTACTCCCAACTAAAGCCTCTTGCTTGTTGTATATTATTTCAATGTCTTAATTGGGAGACCAATTTGTATAGGGTTATCCTTTATTTTAGATTGGATATTGTTGTGCCGATGTATACGATATTGCAATAACCCAACATGAGTCGGACTCCAAACTAAGATATCAAGACATCATCTAGCTTTTATAGGTTTGAGATCAAACGTACGGATGGACGGACAGATAGACAGGTAGGTGGACATGATCGGACATCGGCTCGGATATTGATGCTGATCAAGAATATATATATACTTTATACATTTATACATAAACAAAAATTAGATAGACACAAACAGGACTTATAAAATAAACAAACCAACCATATGGGAATAGAAAGACAATTTTAGAACAACCAAAGACCACAGTTTAGTCCCAAAACGTATTTTAGGAGCGAAAGAAACGAGGTCAAAGGAACCTTCCTTCAGCGGACAGCAACAATCTAACAGAATGGTTCGTAAGCAAAACAAGCAAGTAAAAACCGCGCGTTGCTTCAGCAGTAATAAAAATAAGTTTAAAAAAATTTAACTATTTCCACACTAACTATTGCACACGCCTCTACTTAACAGCCACACCAACAATTGAGTCTGAATGAGAAAAAGTTGGATTAAAATAGCGGCACAGAAAACTATACAATCTCAATTGCCATGCTGTTGATAGAATTCAATAAAGATGTGCATATGTGTGTACATGTATACAGAAATTCTTGCGATTTTCCTTAGCTGCCGCAAACATAACACGTTTTCTTGGTGTTTCTTAACCGATCTTGATAAAATTTGCAGTAGAGCTTTCTGTGCTATAGAATATTCGTATATTCTTTAAAAGACAATTGCTTTAAAATTGTAGTTTAAGCTGGTGGGTAGTTCTAATGTATTTGGTTTATTGCTACGTAGTGGCTTTTACACATTTTTTATGAGTTCAGGATAAAACATGTAAGAGGTTCTAGTCGGGAGCTCCCGACTAGGGGATACCCTGAACCCTCTTCTTCCAACATCAAATGAATATATATATTCTCTTTTAGAAGCTATATGTCAAGTTTGGTGACTCCAGCTCTTATTATTAACCAAAATTGCCCAAAAAAGAGGATATCGATATCGATTTTTATCGGTTGCTTGGAAACGGAGTAAGTTATCGATTATCAGAAACAAACTCGATCTGCGCAGGAGCTAGGAGCATCTACATCTAAAATTTCTCTAGCTCTTATAGATTCTGAGATCCTTGCGTTCATACATACGGACGGATGGACGGACATGTCTAGATCGACTCGGCTATTGGTGCTGATCAAGAATATATATATTATATGGGGTCGCAGATGCTTCCTTCTGCCTGTTACATACATTTGGATTTTGCACAAATAGAATATACCCTTATACCCATTTTTAATTGGTTCAGGGTATAAAAAAATAGATCCCTCAATAGTACTCAAACGGCGATAGGTCTCTCTTCTCTCTCTTCTTGTCACAACTCCTACTTAACAAGAGTTAAGTCTTGATTAGAAAAAAAAGGTCTAAAGTAGTAGCACAGCACACAATACAATCGCAATTGCAATGCTGTTGATAGAACTCAAAGAACACATGTACAACATGCGCCAGCTGCTGCTAACATGTGCGCAGCCAAAACACAACTTTTGTATTTCTTAACCGATCTTAATGATATTTTCTAGAGTACATTTGAATGTGCTTTGTAATATTTGTGTATTCAAAATATCAATTGCATTGAAATTGTTGTTTAAATTGGTGAGCAATACAAGTTGCGTTTTTAACTTGATTTATAGCTTTCGGATGGTATCGGGGAGATGGCGATGGCTATAAAATGAATGATACTTGATAAATACTATTATAGAATCAACATATCAAGTTTGGTGACTCTAACTCTTATTATGTACCAAAATTCCCCAAAAAACAGGATTCCTGTATAGATTTTTATCGATACCTTGGAAACGGGGAAAATGATCGAATATCGGGAACAAACTCGTTCTGCGCGGGCACTATGAGGACCTACAGCCAAAATTAGAAGTCTCTAGCTTTTATAGGCGTTGAGATCCATGCGTTCATAGGTACGGACGGTCGGACGGATGGACAGACACACGGACAAGGCTAGATTGACTCGGCTGTTGATGCTGATCTGGAATATATTATAATTAATGGAATAGTGAAATTAAATTGAAGACGCTAGACTCCTCGCACTGTAAATGTTTGCCAGATATCCTTAGAGCTTTTAGATGGGCAGTGATCACTCTCGTTCATGAATCTATTATGCACCTGTGATAAGAAAAAACAGTGGATAATGTCAACTGATACTACTGGCTCGAAAATTTTACAAAATCTCTTGTAGAGAGTATTTTAATTTTGTCATGAAATGTGTGACGCATAGTAAAGTACATCTCCGACCCCAAAAAATATTATATAATACAGATTAGCATCATCAATCGAGTTTATATAGCCATTTCCGTGTCCGTCCGTCTATTGGTTTCTATGCTTCCGTCTTAACATATGTCGAAACCGGCCAGATCGGATTAATATCACATAGCTGCCATTGCAACGATTGGTCCAAAAGTTGGTTCTTGTATCAAGATATCTTAACCAAACTCGGCATCTACAAGTTTTGCATTGCTCTCTACTATTTCATATAGCTGCCTGCATATAGGAACGATCAGTCAAAAATTAACTATTGGCATGGGATACGTTTTTGTTTATCAAGATATCTTAGCCATACTTGGCACTTATGAGTAATTCCAAACCCTCTACACGTATGCAAAATCTTATTAACGTGAGATCACTAAATTACTAAGCCGACATGGGACGAACGAACGCCAAAAAGTTGCTTCTGATATGGAAACCTTTTTTTATTTTATGATAACTTGGCCAAACTTGGGATTTATTAAATCCATTATAATTATCACATATATATGAGATTTTATCAATATCATATAACTGCCATAGGAAAGATCGGAGGAAGAGTAGGATCTTTATGGCCAAATATTGAGTTTTCAAAGATAATGGTTTTGGCGACCTTTCCATAATATCTTTGAAATTTTATAGTTGGCTGGCTCGAGGTCGAATCTCCATTAAAAAAAACCCGTACCTCGAGCCAGCCAACTATAAAATTTCAAAGATATTTTCAACAAACTCGAGCCGTACTATGCTTACATATCTGCGAAGGGTAAATTTTTACAAGGGTATTAGGCCTTTAGCGTGCCGAAGATATCCATCCATACTTTCTCATAATACTTTATATTATTATACCCTGAACCCATTAAAAATGGGTATAAGGGTATATTGTATTTGTGCAAAATCCAAATGTATGTAACAGGCAGAAGGAAGCATCTCCGATCCCATAAAGTATATATATTCTTAAACAGCATCAATAGTCGAGTCGATCTAGCCATGTCCGTCTGTCTGTCTGTCCGTCCGTCCGTCCGTCCGTCCGTCCGTATGTATGAACGCAAGGATCTCAGAACTTATAAGAGCTAGAGACTTGAGGCTTGTAGATGCCCCTAGTGCCTGCGCAGATCGAGTTTGTTTCCGATAACCGATAACTCACTCTATTTCCAAGCAATCGATAAAAATCGATAACGATATCCTGTTTTTTGGGCAATTTTGGTAAATAAGAAGAGCTAGAGTCACCAAACTTGACATATAGCTTCTAAAATAGAATATATATATTCAATTGATGTTGGAAGAAGAGGGTTCAGGGTATCCCCTAGTCGGGAGCTCCCGATTAGAACCTCTTACTTGTTTTAATATTATTGTTAAAGTATGTATACAGAGATTGTCAGCTATGTTAAAAAAGTCATTGTGCTTCTATAGTTACCTTCATGTGGGATACTTAATGTCCTTTAACTATGTATGGGTACTTACCACTACTGTTATCGGTTGTATATGATGAGGTTCCCTTTCGTTGCGCAAAGTACAAAAGCCAATTTTATGGGCCGCACAAAAAGCCCTCTCTGTCGTATCAATATTCTGTTCCAGAGGGGTTTTAACCAATATATTTCTACGATTACTGATAGTGGTATCGATTGTAGATATAAGCTGTTTTTTTCGGGCACATTCTTTCTATAATGTGTAAGAATGTATACATTTACATAAGAATATATTAAAGTCAATTTACTATCTAAAATTATTATTCTTCGACATTAAACGTTAAAAATATACTTTACCCAAAAGAGGTTTACATTCCAAAAATTCAAATCAGGTTGAATAGCCCCTGAACCAGATGCTTAAATATTGAAGATATCCAAGAGTATAGGGAGAACTTATACCGGTAATGTATTTAAAATTTCCATTAGGTAAACAAAAAATACTTCTAGTAAACAATTTAATAGCACATTAGCTTTAGTTTTTTTAAAGCCCTATAAATGACGAAAATAATTAACTTAACGGGTAGTCAACCATGTGCTGGAAACATTGGAACAGAAGGAATACTGAGCTCATTTCTGGCAGGACGCACCTTTAACGCGGCCGTTAAAGACCAAAGCTCGGGTGTCAAATTCATTAAAGCAGGTTTACCAGAAGGCAACAACCACGGCCTGGTGCTGTACACGGCCGACCTCCCCAACGAGACTGCTGGTGGCAACGTATGCGTCACTGCCTTCCTGGCCTCGCATGAATCTCTACAAGCTGCTAGTCGAAACTTGGACTTGGGGGGTCCCACATCCCAGCATCAAGAGCAAAATGCTTGAGAAAGCTCCAACATCTCGACTGGCTACCAAAGCCTCAAAGCAAGTCACACATTTCCATATACTATCCAAGTTTGGGTCACGGTGAGAGCTCACTACCTGCGAAGCATAAGAGTGGTCCAAGCCAAGGCAGCATGCAAGGTTGCCGGCCTGCCATGATTCGTGACAACCGACGTAATCGAACGCGATCTTCGCCTAACAAGGGTCTGAGATCAGATAAACTACTTCTGCAGCCGATACGCCGACAAGCTGCTGCAGCATCCTAACGCGGCCAACAGGCTGACCCCTACACCCCGACGACCTTCCCCTTCTTTGTAAATAACTTATCATTGTAAATATCATATAACTTACATACTTGAAATTATACATTCTTCTCTAAGATATTCGTTTGGTAGATATCAGAAGACACTGATCGATTCCAACGCAAAATAAAACATTTTAACTAATTTAAAAGATGAAAGGAACACTTTAAGTAAACAATTTAAAAACACTTTAGGTGTTGGTTAATTAATGCCCTAAAATTACGAAAATTATTATTTTTTCGTTAAATTCGAATATTATTTTTGCCATGAAATGTATTACGAATAGACAGAAACATCTTAAACCACATAGACTATACATATATATAAAGTATATTTAAAAAGGCCTATAAAATTATATAACAAATGTCTTTTGACCCTCTTACATCAAATATATCTGATCAGAAAATTGGTCGGTGATCCCTAAAACAATAAAGCGTACACTCGTACACATCGATAAAAGATAAGCACATGTTAAAACTTCACTCAGACTTATTTATTATAACACAACAAGCTCAAGTGGACTAAAAATATCGCATAAAGTAAAATTATATGAAAAGGGTCGAGTGTAGATTAAAACTTAAAGCTTAATACAAAAAGATTTAAAATGCATGCTCAGTAAATAAAAACAAGTTAGAGGTTCTAGTCAGGAGCTCCCGACTAGGGAATACCCTGAACCCTCTTATTCCAATACAATATACAGGTTGGGTCTGCAAGGGTATTAGATCTTCGGAATGCCGAAGACAGCCTTTCCTTCTCGTTTAATTTTCGTTTTACTCCATTGTTGTGCTGATCTTGTTTTCAAGGTTTGATCGCAGTCTCTCTCTTCATTTAAGAGAGTATTTACTTATGATAAATAATACTACCACTTAGAGCTTTTCTCCACTTGCTTAAGAAATATCAAATTTTCAAATTTCACAAATTGGTGTCCCACCGGTTGACAGGAACATAGCGCCGCAAAATTTTTATTCCAAAACTCAAATAATGCGATCTCAAATAAGGTCTTATACATACTCTTTTCGACATTTCGCCAGGTTTAAATTCTAACAAGTAAGAGGTACTAGTCGAGGGCTCCCGACTAGGGAATACCCTGAACCCTCCTATTCCAACACCACATAAATTAAAAAAAAAAAAAGTTCCCTTGGCAGGGTTCGAACTCGCAAATGACCGTAAAACTCGATGTCGACTCTACTCAACAGCCACACCAGCAAAAAAGAAAACAAGTAAAAGGTTCTAATCGGGAGCTCCCGATTAGGGGATACCCTGAACCCTCTTCTTCCAACATCAAATGCGTATATGTATACATTCTATTTTAGAAGCCATATGTCAAGTTTGGTGACTCTAGCTCTTATTATTTACCAAAATTGCCAAAAAAAATAGGATATCGAAATCGATTTTTATCGATTGCTTGGAAACGGAGTAAGTTATCGATTATCGGAAACCAACTCGGTCTGCGCGGGAACTAGGAGCACCTACATCTAAAATTTCAAGTCTTTAGCTCTTATAGGTTCTGAGATCCTTGCGTTCATACATACGGTCGGACGGACGGACGGACAGACAGACGGACATGGCTAGATCGACTCGGCTATTGATGCTGATCAAGAATTTATATACTTTATGGGGTCGGAGATGCTTCCTTCTGCCTGTTACATACATTTAAATTTCGTACAAACACAATATACCCCTTTAACCCATTTTTAATGGGTTCTGGGTATAAAAACTGTGGGATTATTATAATTTTAAATTTCTTATTAAAAGTTGCCTCTTGCTTTCGTTCATATATCAGCTGTTTACGGCTATAATACTTTCAGATTTTTCACAACATCGATTGAAATCTCGATTTATCATCGCAAAAAACACGAAATGTACGGGGAGAATTTATGTGTGAAATGTGTTTTCTTATGGGAAAACGCACAGGACACATTTTACACATTTTTGTCGACCCTACTCAACAGCCACACCAGCAAAAATAAAAAATAATAATACTTTCCCCGGTAGGGCTCGAGCTCGCGACAGACCGGACCACTTGCTATGCCTCTACTCAGCAGCCACACCAACAATTAACTACTTATGATAAAAAAGGAACTAAAATAACATTGCAAAAAAAAGATGCAATTACCATGCCATGACGCATGACGCGCATGAATGTGTGTGTGTACATGAATACAGAAATTCTTAAAGCTGCTGCCCATTCAATTGCGCAGTTGCATATAACTTTGGTTACCCACCTTTATGAAATTTTCTGCAGTATATCTTCTTGTAACATAGAATATTTGTGTATTCTCAAAAAGTTAAATGCAATTTAAATTGTGGTTTGAATTGGTTAGTAATAAAAGTAAGCTTATTAACTTGACTTATAGCTCTAGGGTGGTAGCGGGGAGGTGGCGATAGGTATGAAATGAAAGATACTTGAAATATCTATAATATTCTAGAAGCAAAATATCATGTTTGGTGGCTGTAGCTTTTATCGATCGATTTTTATCGATTGCTTGGAAACGGAGTAAGTTATCGATTATCGGAAGTCTCTAGCTCTTATAGGTTCTGAGATCCTTGCGTTCATACATACGGACGGACGGACGGACGGACAGACAGACGGACAGACAGACGGACATGGCTAGATCGACTCGGCTATTGATGCTGATCAAGAATATATATACCTTATGGGGTCGGAGATGCTTCCTTCTGCCAGTTACATACATTTGGATTTTGCACAAATACAATATACCCTTGTACCCATTTTTAATGGGTTCAGGGTATAAAAACAAAATTGAAGATTTGCAAATGAGTTAACCGATGGAAAATTTTCATGCGATTTTCATAAGCTAATAAAAATTTAGAATTTAAGACACTGTTAAACTTTTTTTTTCGTGATGCGGCTTCAAGTATAAAAAAATATGTAGTTTCAGTGCCGACGTTTGCTGTTAAGGCGCAGAGAAATGCTAATTCAGCGACAATGCAGCGTCGATAGTCTCTCCCATAGGTTCCTCTATAGATGGGAATTGAATTTAGTGCTGGGAGCGCATTATTTGATCTTCAGAGGAAACATCTGATTGGCTTTTGCAAGCAGACTAGGCCAGTTCAATGATTTTCGGTTTTTCGGCAACTATTTAGTCTGCACTACCTTCGCCTGGTGCCTAACTTAGCCTGGTACTAAATTCTGTCTGGTACTAAGTTTTAGTATAGTACTAATTTTTAATAGTATTAACTTCTAAACTCGTTCTAAGTTTTGAGCTCGTGCTAAGTGCCAATCCTATAACTACACAGGCATGCAAATCATTCTAATTCTCAAAAAACAAGAAAAAGGAAAACAAAAATTGGCCAACTTGCCGCTCTTTTGGTTTAGCATCTTGCATTATTTTATAATCATTTTATTTTCCGTAATCTGGAATTTAAACTTATATGGCCGAGAAAGACTATCTCTGGACTGTGCGACTTAACGTTTTCGCACTTGTACCTAGAGTTTTTTTTTTCGAGTACAACTGTCTCCAATGTCGAACAGAATATAAAACGGGTGATAGTAGCTAGGTTCGGCTAAACGAAAACTATTTTGCTAAATTAATTATTTTACGAATAGTTTAATATAATTCACTATTGAAGCGCCAGAGAAAGAGATTAATTTTCTTTTGATAAGGCGGCCGTGTAGTGGAAACGGATCAAGCGAAAGAAAAATTCGTATGCTTATCGTTAAGTTCAAGAAGAAGAACATTTATTCTAAACGCAGCTCAGAGGAAAGCTTAAAACATAAAATTCCTTATTTTTTGTACATAATTTGTTATTTTTAAGAAAAAATCACACGTATATTTGATATATTACGTAAACGCCGATCAGTGGAAACTTCTTAACTTATAATTATTACTTATATATTTTTATAAGAATGAAGAAGAATAATGCATGTGTTTGTATTTTATTAATTAAACGCAGTTCGATGGCAATCAGAATCAGAATCAGAATCAGTTTATCGAAAACCGATCGTAATATTTTACAACCCTGGTGTTGTTTACTTTTTGCACTTGCCAATTAATTGTAAAAAATTTATATAAATTGTTACTGAAGCTGCTGTGGAGAAAAATTAACAAAC